AAATTCTTTGATGATGTGGTCACACGAAGAGCGAAGGTGAAATATGGGAAGGTGCGAGGCGAGAGATTTGAGGCGGTGGATGGTTACGTCGAGGGATTAAACTAATCAAAGTAGAACCCGTGTACACGATAAACAGTACCGTTGACTGCTGAAGAAATATATATATATATATATATATATATATATATATATATATATATATATATATATATATATATATATATATAGGTTATAATGTGGAATGACATCTACCGTGTGATCGTAAGGACAATTCTAAACCAATAGATGAATATAATGGATGAAATATGATTTGAGGGTCTATGATATTACAACGAAGTAACATGTATCATATAGTTATCCAAATTTTATTGTAAGGGTATTTTAGTATTTTAAACTATACTTTAAAAAGGAAAATATCGAATTTTAAGGGATAATTAATTTATCCAAATTTAAAAAAATCTGAATTTTTTTAAATTAATTCAATTTTAATTGTAATGTAATTTTGTAATCATAAAAAAAATTTATTCTATCATAATGAAAACGATATTCTGTGATAATGATATTTTATAAGAATGTCAATCATAAACTAATAAAGACTTATAATTTAGCAATGGTTTAATTTAAAAACCAATCAAATATTCTTATAGAATTTAGGGTTAATAATCTTTTTAACTTAAAAAATCAAATATTCTTGGGAATAAGTTGATTTATGGCATTAAATTCTAAAAAACATTACAAACTTCCTGCTACTATTCTATTAGAATATAAGAAATACAATTATTAAAGAACAACAAAATCATATCCTCTTCTTACACAATATATCCTCTGTTGTAGAATATTCTTAAACAAAATCTTAGCATAATATACTTGCTGTAGAATATTCTTTAAGAATGAAACATTTGTTTTCCATTGCCAATTATCATAATTTCGTGCCTCGAATTTCAGCCCAGTAGAGAGAATATGAACTTTTGTATCCCAAAATCTATAAATTGGATATATCTTGTAGCTCAAAATTTATGGAATAAAACAGATACAATGGTGAGTAAATTGTTCATTAGTCCTATTGGAAAGATTATAAATGTTTGATGATATGTCAACAAATATAGTTTGAGATGTAATCAAGATCTTGAAAAAAAAAAGTAAAATGCATCATATTATGGATTCTAATCCTTAATAACAAATTCACAAATAACAAACAAAATCATCCAAACAAAACATTTGTAAAGAATCAATAAACCAAAAGCACAAGTACATTTTAAATTCTAACAGAATGTGTATATGATATGGAATGTAAATATTCTTGAATCCAACAAACCACCCTCCTGGTTCCTAAAATATATACATAACACTTTCAGTTGTATGATATGGATTGTAAAGATTCTTGAATACTAGAGTGCAATAACATACATATACAATGAAAACAACAAAAGTCTAAAGAGAATCGATGTGAACTTATTGTTTTTGTTACCTTTGACATAGGAGACAAACTTGGTAGGTTCATATTTTTATCGAACAGTTCAAAAGACATCATGTATCATCAGATTTATTAGCTTCTTGAACTCCCTGAAAATGATGTTGCTATGTTTTTTTCTCCTTTTGGGACCTTCAGATTGTGATAGCTTCGAAAGAGAACCGATTCCCTGCCTTTATACTTTCACTCTTGTGCGATTAAAAGCTTTCTTATGTATTCTTGAACCCAAAATCGGAGAGTGACCGAACATGAAGTTGTAGCTGTGAGATTTAGAGTTTTCAAAAAAATTGTGCGAGCTTTCCTCTCTTTAGAACCTGAAACCCTAGATGCCATTCATCGAAAATAATCTATCTCCATTAAAAGATTGTGCTAGGACTCATCTTTTTCTCATTCCTTTTAGTCGTCAACGACCTCCACCACATCACATCCCTTTACATGTTCTGCCTCATCGTCTATGTATGTGGATATAAATCGAAAATTGAGGCATTATATTGTTGAACCGCACTCCCACTAATCTTAAGTGCTGCGAATTTTGGGGTTTCATGGAAATATGAATGGATTCATTGAGTTGGGATCGTGCCTGTGTATAGAAGAAAGAAAAAGAGGCGGATATGGTTGCTGAGATAAGTTGGGATTTAACACCCCGTTCCCGAGTTCAAGTTAAAGAGAGAAAAGAAAAGAAATGGGTGGAAGTGGGAGGAAAGTAAGAGAAATTGCTGTTCCCGAGTTTCATTAAAGGAGGGAAGTGGAAGGAAATGGAGGGATCACTTTCCCTCCTAACTTTCCTTCCGATTTGGAAGGATTTAGAGAGAAAGAACGAAATGTTTAACTTTCCTTTCATTTCTCTCCAACTCGGGAACACAAAACACAAATTTCTTTTCCTTTCTCTTCTCTTCTTTTCTCCCCTTACTTTCTTTTCTCTTCTCTTTTTTTCTCTGCTACAACTCGGGAACGGGGTGTAAGGGATTTTAATACCGAATTCCTTGATTTGAAGGAATATTAAATGTTTTTAAATAGTTACTATAATTAAAGTCAGATAAGATTACTAAGATTACTGTTATATTCTTATTTTATTTATTAATTATTTAATTTTTCCTAAATTCTTATTAATTCCTACGTCCATTCCATACAATAGATATCCATCCACATATGAAGCTATATATATATATAGGATGGTTCAATTGAGAAAAAAAAAATTGAGAATGGAGGAATCATTCTCAGCCAATCATTTAGTTAGCATTTTAATTTAAAATATACGGTGACAAACTTGTAAATATGATATGATAT